CAAAATCAAAGCAGGAGAAACCCAGCTTGTCTTTTGAAAGAAAACAAACTTATGGGAAGTAATGAGGGGGGAAGAAGCCTAGCTCATCGATGATTCGTGTTCAAAGGAAACCTGTGTCCAAATATCTAAAAGGCTTTACTTCAGAGCAGAAACATGGAAACATGAGGCTCCTCGCGATTCATCTCATCCCTCTTTCATCTCCTTCTTTCCATTATCCACTTGCAGCGGCGTTTACATAGAAGCCCGATTTGCGCTGACAGCATTTATGGCTGAAGCAGCTTCGTCTCAGCCAAACCACTGCACACACAGTCACACACACATCTTTCACTGCCATACAGACCTTACTCTCTAGATCCATCAAACGATCATATTATTAGCAAAGATATTTTTCTCCCAATATACTGTCTGAAAATCTTATTTTGCTAGTTAAATTATTCAACTCAAATAGTGGCAACAAATCACCTTGGTTATCAGCAAATGCAGCACTTTGTGTTTTTTTAAGCAACATGGACTAGGACTAAGTGCATGTCATAACAAATTATTGTATTAAAAATGATGCATTTTTGGAAAGATAACATCGATAACAGATTGGGGGAAAAAAAGTTCTCACCGCTGAGATGAACAGTTGTTGAGATATTCACATGTGAAGTAACAGGAAGTGATGTCAAAGGGGAATGTCTGCATGTGAACAGAGCATTTGGACAACAGCCAACAACACACTAGAGAATTGATTATTTTAGTCACTGTCAGAAAAATGAACAGTCAGAGTTCAAATAATATTGTTTCAATTAGCAAAGACCAGGAAGTCTCTTTTTTTAGAGTTCCCCTTTGATGTCACTTCCTGTTTCACTTCGGCTGAGCCAAATCCAAAAGAAGATATGCCAGTTATCTGACAAAATGAGTGAAATCCTGTATATTATGCCAAGTTTCTTAAATATAAAGGTGTTTTCTTTGACTTTTTTTTTACTTGAAGGAAAAGTATGTCACAGGCACTTTAATGTTGTAGCAGTAAAATCCTCCAAAAACAAACTTCAACATTAGAAATTTGGAAACGCAGTGTGTGTTGAAATCTGGGAAGGCAAAAAGTTTGATTCCCAAAGTAACACAAGTAGCGTAATCATTGTAGTTCTGATGTTTAACGTTATTGTTCTGGGCATTTTTACATGAAGAGTAATTTGTTTAATGTAATATTCCACTTGTCGTGCAGCTCCTTATTTGACAGGATATACCATCTGACATGATGCAAAACCAGTTAAGCTGAGAAGAAATGAAGAAAAGCATCCTTGGATTTTAAAGGAGCTCTGCTATGGTATTTATGCTCAAAGCAGCGAAAACCTGCCGAGCTGCATCTTTTACGTCTCAATTGACTCTTTGCCAAAAGAGGCTCTTTGCTTTGCTTTAACGGTTTTTATCTGGCACTAAAGCGGATGTTCAGCTATGTTAGCTTAGCTCTGTTCGTGGTAAAGAGGGAAGCAGATGCTGCATTCAGGAGGCATTTACATTTTGCATTTTTTGTTCTAAAAGGTCAAATTACAGTACTGCCCAAAAGTAGTTTTTATCAATGGTTCTGCAGGCTTTCTGGAGGTCCTTTGCTTTTTCACTCATTAACTCGTCTTTGGGAAATAAGCAGCGGGCAACTCGTGAATTTCCTTCGAGATAATAAAGTCTCGTGTAGTATTATCTTATCTTAAGAAAAATGATCCTGTGTAGCTGCATTATCCCTTGAATTTAAGTGCCTGAATGATTCGTAGGTCGGAGTTGCGTAACTTTACAAACAAAAAAAAAACGTTCCTTTGAAAAAGATCAGGAGGTGGACCTGAAATGAGAAAAGTTAAACAGAACTGAAATGGAACAATGTTTCAATTCAAAATCCAGCTGTGCTAGAGGAAAGTATTTTTGTAGATATGTCTGTTTTTAGATTAAAACCAAAATCAACTCCACAGAATAAAATGAGCTCCAATTATAAACAGAAAATCTTACACTATGACTCAGACTACTCAATTAAACTAACTACATCATTTCTTGTTCTATATTATCTTCTATTTAATGACCATGCCCAAAGACCATGCCTTTAAAGGGAAAGTCTTTGTCTAGGCTATGCTAAAGGCTAACCTAACAAGGGTCATTTTAAAGTTATTTTAAGGCTTATTAAAAAGTCGTTATGAAATTGATATTCTTGTTGTCCTTAAGAATATCAATTTCATAACGACTTATAATACGTTATCTTACAAATTTAAGAAAATTATAGAAAATAATTGGGAGATCATAAAAGCAGATTCTGCATTAGCTCCTCTCCACCAACTCACGCCTAAATGTATTTATAGGAGGGCACCAAACTTAAGAGACAAACTGGTACACAGTCATTTAACTGTGGTTAATAATACATCGTGGCTCCCTAAACCGGTTGGCTGCTTCAAATGTCTTAAATGTAATCATTGCAAGGAGGTAAAACAATGTAAGACTTTTACCACACATGAAGGGGGAAAGGAATATGACATTCGCCAATTCATTAATTGCAATTCGTGTTTCGTTGTTTATCTGTTACAATGTACATGTGGCGTGTTTTACATAGGTCAGACCAAAAGACGACTGAAGGATCGCCTTTGGGACCATAAAAACGCAATTAAAAGAAACAACACGGATTATGCTATGGCAAAACATTTTGGTAAAACTTCACCTGGAACGGTTCACATTTTAAGCATTACAGGCATTGGCTGTGTCCAAAACGGCAGGACGGGTCCTCCGAAGGTCGAATTT